GCGGAGGGAAACTTCCATAAAATGGTGATTGATTATATTTTTTCCGTTAAAAAATGTGTTTGGTAGACAAGAAAAGATCATGAATTTGTTTTGCACTACTGGAAATTTGGTACGAAAGAACCAAGAAACAGAGATAAATTTAAAGAGTCAAATCGCTCAATTGACACAAACATCCTTTTGAGAGTGAAAGTTAAGAGTCATGCATGACTCATAAATACTATTTCAACATAAAATAAAAGGCCAATGCCATAAGAGATACGTGTTGAAATATTTTGTTTTCAAAATATTTCATAAATCCCAAGAAATATTGAGTTCAATGTATTTATAAAACTAGTTGAAAGTAAGAGTGTTTTTGGGATGGGACTGGACCAAAACACCCTTATTTGTGTCACGTCTTAAAAAAAAGATCGAGACTGAATTTTTATTCCATATCTCGTTCTATCCCATTAAGAATCGGCACGGGATCAGAATGAGATTAGGACGTCTCACTATCCTAATAAATTGAACAATATCGAAAAAAGATTTGAATAATAACATTTATTAAAATTTTAAATCATATAATTTATTAAGTTTAAAATTAAAATTAATACAAGTATATAAATCACAATAATTTAAAGTTTATTATTGAATTACATTAATCACAACTTCAAGTGTATAACATATTATGATAGCAATTATAAGTCATCTCTAGACTATAAGAGTAATAACAACAAGCAAGTCAAGTACAACATCAACTCATTATTCTTCTATTTTAATTGAAATGTGCTAAATTAATTACTATTTCAAAAAAAATAAGAAATATGATATAAATAGAAGTTATTAAATAGATAGAAGTAAGAATAAATTGTATTAATATAATTAATATACTATAAAAAAGATATTACTTTATTTACTTTATATCATTAAAATTATCAATATAAAAAAATTTAATTTTAAATCAGAATTGCACATATTGAGTTTATAATTGATATAAGCATAAATTATATTAATACATTTAATGTATATATTTTAAAAAATAATATATATTTATATATATAAAAAATATTCGAAATGGGATGAGATATTTTGATGATAATCTCATATCTTGTTTCATCTCAAATTCTTTTCTCATTCTACCATGATGAGATTGGATGGGATCGAATCAATTAAGAAGATTATAAGCTAAAAACCCTCAGTTGAAAGTGGCAATAATGTTCGGCAGCCACGTGTAATGTGGCTCAACTCATGTTCCATGCAACGAGTGCCCATATCTAGTTTTAATTACTTATTCACAGCATATCCAAGAAGGAAGTTGGTGGGGACGGGGGATAGAGTATAGAATATAATATTATAAATAAAGAAGCTCTGAAAAGTTAGGCAAAAATCAAGATCAGGAGCATGTGATAGTTGAAAAGATAAAAGCAATTACAGTGGCCGAAAGCCGGAAATAAAAAGAAAAAGATTTCAGAGTCAGCAAAATCTAGTAATCGTAGCCAGTCTCCTTAACTATGGGAACGGAATGACAGACATAAAAGCAAGAATCCTAGTCAATGCAATGGCCAACGTGGTCGCCGGTAACCATGCCTCAATATCTCTGATTTTTATTTGTTCCGCTAACCACGCAGAAATTAGTTCCCCTATTTTCCTTTCCACCGCACTGCCACTCTTGGCTTGTTTGTCATGCTTTCATCATCATGATGCTTCTCCTTCATTTTGCTTTCCCTTCTCTCCTGAATTTCTTTCCTTAATTCCATGGCAATATTTACCACAATTTTTTATCAGCCATACTAAAAAAATTTTAAATATTTAAGATTGAAAAAAATTTATATATTTAATTTTATATACGATTGATTTCAATTAAATTAAAACACATGCATCTTTTATTTATTATTTATTTTATAATAAATCTTTGTTATTAACATTACTAACGTATTAAAACTCCCTCTCATCTTATTTATAAATAATTTCTAACTTTGTTTGATTAAAGTTAAGAAAGATATTAAAACTCATTAAATCATTTAAAATTTAATAAGCTTTTAATTTTATGCCTGTTAAATATATATATATATATATATATATAACATGTTTTCTTCAGCTAAAAAAATAGCTTGTAATAAATTAAAAAGTCAATAACATATCTTATGAATAGAATAAAAAAATATTTTTCTCCCTTTCTTATGCAGAAAGACCCGACGAATATATAGCAATGTTAGAAAACGCAAAACATATCTTCAACGCACTTACCGGTACACAAGTCACTCAAGTCTTTGCCTTTGAAGCACGATTTCAAGCTTTCTAGTAAACCATTAGTTATTTTGATTAGAAATGGTTGCCGGCCACTTTCTTCGTGGAGCATGACATGAAATCATGTTTATTTTTGCAGGATGATTTATCAATCGAAATAGTAAATGTTATAACTTATTGATTCAAACCAATTAATCAGCCTTAAGCTGATAATTATTTGATGAATTGTGGTGTGGTTACTGGAATGTTGTTTCGAAGAATTAAAAAACATGGAATTGAAGTAGACGTCTGTGCCAGCAGTCCAGAGGTTGGGGTAAATGTAACCAAATTAAATGCTTATCTCGCAAAATGTCTTCAATAAAAAGGTGGTTTTAGTCTGAAACTAATTTGGACATTTGTCTGACCCAAAAAAAAAAAAAATTGGACATCTGAATTTAAAAAAAAAAGACAATTACATTAAAGTCCACATAAGAGAATTAATTACTGTAAGAATAACTGAATTAAATTGTATTGACAACTAGTTATATTATCAATACAGTTCAGATCAGTTATCAATAAATTTTACAATAATTAATTTTTTTATATGAGATTTAATTATAATTCTTTAAAAAAAAAAATAGGGAGGAGATGAGGGGGAACGGCACTGATAGCGGCATAAGATAGAAAGAAGAGAGGTTCAATTTGTGGCGTCAACGGAGGACCCTCCCAATAAGGATGCCTCTTTGACGCGCCTCCCGAGTCCCACCAGTAACTTGTTTATCGCTCCGACCATGACCTTTGCCCCTTCTCAAATGTCAATAACCCACCTTGTCAGCATTCCCACGATAAATGTCTTTTTTTTTTTTATGATTATAAAAAAGGAAAATCGTGTCTAGTCTTATATATAAGACATTAAATAATGATAGTATTTTTAATAAGTTAAATATTATATTCATTCTACTTAAAAGATACGTGAAAATTTTTAAAATATAAATATTTTAATCAATTTTTTTAAAAGTATGAATTAAGTAATAATAATTTATATTTTGGTTCAAATGGAATATATGCTGCGATGATTATTGACATATAGAGTCTTTTAGAAAAGATGAACGGTCTTTATTATAAGTTCATTTACTAAGTTTTTTTAATGCTACTGGTATTTAAAGTCATTAACTACAACAGATAAAGCAACATAAGTATAAAAATTTATCATTCAAATATGGGCAAAATAAAAAATTTATTCCAAACAAAATTAATGATTTAACCATATTTTTATTGATTTTGACAAGGTGATTATGAGTTCCTTATAATTGAGATCAAAGTAGTAGACTCCATTCTTTCAAAATTACCCCTTGCTCCATCTCAATTTATAAGGTTTTTTTTCCTCACAAAAATACATATAGCGGTGAAATTTATTAGATACAGTTTATAATCTTAATTTTTTATAAACTTTTAAAATTATCATTCTTTCATAAGAGAGAGGAGGGATAAAATTTATTTAAGATGTGAAATAATGAGAGGTAATATTGGAATAATCATCACTAATAAAATCTTATTCTTTTTTTAAAAAATAACTTATATTTTAGAATATCAAATCAACTTCAAAAATATTTTATGAAATGAGACAAGGGAGGGAGTACTTTATTAAATATCTGAAGAAATTTAGTTCAATGTTGTATTTATTTTGTTTGTGAATCATGATAGTATATTCGAAAAGGTTTAGTTAGGAACTCTTTACCCAACTTAATTTCAAAATTTCCTTGTACATATGGGGGACTGAAATAAATAAAAGAGCTCGCTAAAATAATTTTATTATCCTTGGTAAAGCTAAACGCATGAACAACTGATATATGAAAACTGAATAAATAAGATTCAAAACTCTCATTAACAGCATAATTAATACCATTATAAATATAAACAAGCAAAGTTAGACATATGAATAATTCATATAGAAAAAATGAGCAACTGATATATGAAAAATGATCACCTAACGTAGGTGAGATGAGAGTTGTAAATTCATAATGGTGTTATACTGTTAATGAAAGTTGCAAATTTTATCTATGTCAATTGTTCATTTTTCTTACATGAGTTGTTCATGCACTTAATTTCAAAAAGGACAGTAAAATCATTTCAATCAACTTTTAATTTTATTTTAGTCCCCTACATGTGTAATGAAGTTTTATAATTTTAGGAGGTTAGAAACAAAATTAAGTTGGATTAGGGGTCTTAGTTGAAACTTTGTAGTGTATTTTTTTTAAAGCTAAATTATGCATTATTTTTTTGAACTTTAAATCACATACATATAATCTTCTTAACTTTTAAAACTTTACAGTAAACCTTCCTCAACTTTAATATTTATATAGATAACTTTAGATAATTAATTTTATACATTAATTATTTATATATAATTTAAAGTTTAGGGGGATTATATGTATATCAATTAAAGTTTAGAGACTTAAATGCATACAAAATAAAGTTTAAGAGGATATATATTTAATATTTAGGGGTTATTTGTATAAACATAAAAATTCAAGGAGGTTTATATTAAATTTTAAAAGTTAAGAGAGTTATTTGTACATAATTTAAAAGTTCAAAAAATTTATATAATTTAACTTTTTTTTAAGTGAAAAAGAAAAACATGTTTGCATTGAAAAGTCTGCCCGCCCTTCAGTTGTTAAGAGGCCGAAATTGCCCACACAAAGAAATCTTTTTTTTTTTTTTTTTCTTTGGACAACTCGCACAAAGAAATCAAAGCAGTATAAATACAAGCCATCGTCCACCCTTAGGGCCTCACAACTCACAACATTCGTTCATTCATTAACTACAAACCACAACACCTGCTCCCCCAAATTCTCACCCTTTTCTTTAACCCATGGCCTCCCTCCTTATTAGCTTCACCACTTTCCTCATTCTCTCTCTCTCCTTCCATTCCTCTCTCGGTATTCATGCCTTCTCTGTCTCTCTCTCTCTCTCTTCCATTTATTTATATTCAGCATTTATTATATGCATATATATATGCAATGTATTCTTTCACACCATGCACTTCTTACACATTCATTACAAGTAGCAACCATCACAATAGAATTTAACCTCCGCAAGAAAAGGTTTCATATGCATCTTAATTATGCAGGAGGAGGGATAGAGTGCGAGAAGCTGGACCGAGATAGGTGTTCCTATGCGGTGTCGTCCACGGGGAAACGGTGCGTGCTGGAGAAGCAGGTCAAGAGGAGCGGCAAGCAGGTGTACACGTGTCGCACATCGGAGATCGAAGCCGAGAAAGTGAAGGACCACGTGGAGAGCGACGAGTGCATCAAGTCATGTGGCCTCGATCGAAATACCCTCGGCATCTCCTCCGACGCTCTCCTCGACTCTCGCTTCACCCGCAACCTCTGCTCCCCTCCCTGCTACCACAACTGCCCCAACGTCGTCGACCTCTACTTCAATCTCGCCGCCGGCGAAGGTAATTTCACCGACTTACCATACTCTCTTTCTTTAATTAATTATCTATACAATTAATAATAATAAGTTCTTCTATGCATAAATTGAGCAGGAGTGTTTCTTCCCAAGCTGTGTGAAGTGCAAGGGGCGAACGCTCGCCGAGCAATGGCTGAACTGAGAAGCTCTGGAATTGTGGCGCCCGGACCTGTCAACTCCGTCAAGTTCGCCGCCGCGGCTGAAACTCCTGAACTCCAACCTCTCAACTCTCTTCGCTTCACTGCCGACCAACCCGTGGCTTCCCCACCATGCGACCATTAATTATATATCTGTGTATGTGTGAGCGTGTTTGTAGTTTAAATGTTACGCCCCAAACAATATATTATGTACTAGTTTGGGCGCTTAGTAAGTAGTTTTCTTGGTTTGTGTTGTAATATTACAAGTCATATGCCAGCAACAGCTTCGTTCATAAGGAGCTTTCCAATGTGACATGATTCGTATATTTTGTTGTGCGTAGTCGTACAATCCATGTTCTGGCATAATGGTCCTTCTTCTAAATTAAGAAGCGACAAATAATGCTACTGTAATTGACTCGGATGCCCATCCCGGAAAATGAAAATGAATTCATTCGAAAATAGAGCTACAAATAATTTCAGCCTTCATCTTATTTACAAGTAGCGAGAATTAACTATTTATGTGAAACCACAGTGATTTAGTGGCAAATAATATTACTGCAACTGACAAATAATATCTACTCCCAAGAACTTCTACTCTGTGTGATTCATTCCGCCAGTGAACACCGTGTGGAACAGGGTGTTGAAGCAGGTATGCTAAATTAAACAACAGAGAATTCCTAGCCTGTACGCTGCTAGGAAAGTGCTGAATGCGTTGAATTTTTTGTCCCAAGAACATGTTGTATCCTTCAAACTAGTGAACTTTATAGAAGGTGCTTCTAATCAAATCGCTTATTTTCTTGGTGGTAAAGAAGCCCAGAAGCTATCCACATATACACAAAGCAAAGAGTGCGTCCATGATATATTCCTTTTAGGGACGTGGCAGTTCATGTTTAATGAGTGAAAAATCACTTACATACGGTTGTGTCATATCTGGGAGCAAAAAATATTTGTTGCATAATTTGATGTACTTGAAAGTAGTGTCAGCGTACAAGATCCGATACGTCAAATAATAACAGAATCTCCCCTTGACGAGAGGAGGACAGACAAAATGATTGACAGATTTCATGAAGTGAGCTCTAAGGTGTGGTGCAGATCCAATGTAGAGCAGGTTGGTTTGAGTCGATGTATCTTCAAATTTACATGTCATAACATGAGTGAAGCATGCTATTTGGATTTAAGGAGATGAACTGAAATTTTCTTGTTACATTTTGGTTAGAGTGTATCCAGCTTATATTAGCAGAAAAAAATTATCATCAGGGAAAAACAATAATAAAGGATAATTGGGACACGATCAACCATGACTTACAAAGGGAAATCTCTTGGTTCAATAGAAATCTCATGAAAACCGGAGATGCTCTACTGATTTGGAGCAAGCACAACTTCGCTAATAATGCTGTTCTGATTAGTAAATTACTGATTGAACTTTGAAGCTGCTATGAGGGAGACTGGTTAGATGATAGGGCCAATATAGCCCAAGGCCTCAAGCCTGAATTGGAAACTCTCTAGGATCGAGAAGAGAAATATTGGTTCCAAAGATCTCGCGTCAACTGATGCAAATGGGGTGATAAAAACTCACCCCCACCAACTGTTGATGACAGGCAACTTAGAGTAAACATACTTATCTTGGACAACAATTGGGATCTCTCTTTATTGGAGGAATTCTTCATTGACGAGGAAATTCAAGCAATTCAATCAACTTCAACAAGAGCTGGCTCTTCTGGAAGGCCATGTGGAAACTTAAATTGCCAGATCGTGTGCAGCATTTCCTTTGGCAACTCTTCAACAATGTGGTACCCTCAAATGAATCTCTTTGGAGAAGGCGCTGTCGTTCAAATCCACTCTGCTGCTACTGCAACCAAGAAGTGGACTCTTATGAGCATCTCCTACTTCTTTGTGACGGGTAGGTGTAGTAAATTATTTGATAACCATCCCTTACACCCATTGGAAACAGCTAAACACTCTCAAGATGCATGCTTTACTTGAGTTCTGGAAAAACAATGGCTGGAGTTTGATAGATTCTCAAGACCATAGCAACTCCATGGACGACTCTAGAAAGGAAAATTGGTGCCCACCTGATCCTGAATTCATTAAATGTAATGTTGATGCTGCCTTTTATTCTAAATCTAACTCTGCAAGGATTGGTATTCTCTTTAGAAACCATTTGGGCTCGTTGGTTGCTGTTATGGGAGAGCGTATTTGTACAACTTCACCTTCCTTGAGTGAAGCCTTTGCTCTGTACAAAGCTCTTTGCCTCGTCTCTATCAAATTTGACTGTAAGATGCTTGTAGATGCTGTCATCTCTGATGGTATTTGTCCTGAACGGACCTGCTCCACCCTCATGGCATATATCCGAGGTCTTCTTTCAGCAAATAATTTTTGGACCTTGTCTTGGAGAAGTAGAACTGCTAATTTAGCAAGTGATTGGTTACCTAAAGAGTGTCACAAGGGGTTGTGCCCTTTTAGTTGGGATTTATATCCCCCTCCCCCTTTTTTCAATTTGCTTTCAGTTGACTCTGATGTAAACACTTTTGCCTAATTAATAGTATCTCTTTTCTAGCCAATAAATAAATAAATCGATACCCACAGTCAAAGATCACAATTAAAATGTTTTGCATGATGTGCGCTAGGAATAATATGGGATTAAAAGGAATAAGAAAAGTCTCCTTGTTATACACATAGAGCTGTGTAATTGTCATCACTTGTGCTTTAATTTTGCAATATTTATGGACGAGAATGGGTTATCCATTCCTACTGCTACCGTAAGCTTGTGTGCTTCCTTTACTATATCTCTTTAAGAGGATTTATATTAGATCATTATAACGGCCCATGTGTCTAGCCCATTCTTATACAAGGCCCTTTTAACCCAAGTGCTTGTCGTCCGTTCTTTTCTGTTTTATTCGTTATTCAATTCTGTCATGCCATGTATGGTGTGACGTGTCTACCAAAAAAACAAAATGTATGGTGTGACGTGATCGTATAATTGATGGAATAAATAAGGTTTTTAAAATAAGTGATTAGATGATCATTTTTAATAAGAGATTAGGCCGTGCATGATATATAGTTGAGATATTTGTTAGAACCTTATGTATTATAACGTGACCTAATTGGTTATCTTTTTGCGCGGATTTTTATGTTTATGGCTTTGTATTTTAAAAAATACTGGAATGGTAATTAAATTGTATGAGACATTAGGTCATATGTCAATTAGATCAATCATGACTAATTTAATACTTTTCTTATGTCTATTATAAGACATATCTAATTATCTCACTAGATTTAAAAGAAGGTGATTAGGTCATTAATTTGTTTGAATTTTCTATTTTACCTCTAATTGTTTTCATATTTCCATTGCACACCCCCTCACAATTAGTGAGTTTAAACAAGGGTATTATTGAAAAGCATAATTAATATCTTATTAAGTAATGACAACGTAATTCTTTTAGAAGATGTTTTATTAGAGCTGGTAATTCAGGTCGAGCCTGACGAATTAACCTGAATCTGCCCAAAAAAAGTTAGGGCCAGGTTTAGAAAAAAATATATGATATTTTTATGTTCGGGCTGAGAAAATTTAAGCTAAACCCGATCAGGTTCAGACTTGACCTGAATACACGAATAAGAAACTTTTATTTTTACAAAATATATAAACTATGATAAATATTAATTAATTCTTTAAGTTTTAGGTTATTTTATATTAAAATATCATATATTTGAATCTTATATATTATTTAAGTATCAAAAATATATATTTCGCATTTTTTGAAAATAAAATAATTAATTTTAAAGTTAAAAAATTAATTAAAAATAATTTTTAAAATAAAATTTGAATATTTGGGATGCTTGAAACCCGAAGAAATTTGGGTTGGGTTTAGCTATTTCGACTTTTTAAGAAATCGGGCCTGTTTAAGTTCGGGTCTATTTGAGTCGGGCTTATTCGGATCGAGTCCTAATAAGTTTCGCCCGCCCGAATTTCTAGCTCTACGCCTTATAATAAGAATTGAAGGAGTATATGTTTAATGTTATAAGAAATATTACATCCTAAATGAAATTTTATAGAATAATGATTTACAAATATTAAAATGATTAGGGAAAAATTAAATAAACTTTTACTTTTTCATGGTACGTCATTGTATTGTTATACAATATTGACTGGGGATTTTTTTTAAAAAAAATATTACTGGTGGTTAATGCTAATTGAAAAATTATAATAACGTTTATTGATAAGTAAGATGAAGTGACAAGAGGGTGAGGTGATGCTATCTTTTCTTTAACAAAGAAGCTCAATACGTCATCACTGATGTGCAAAATGACATTAACTCATTTAATGTTATAGAGCACACATGTTACATACATACATACATATAAAAAATTACACACACTATGAACACTGACGGTCTCAGGATTTTAAGTCATGAGGTGTAACATTTTAAAAATTAGTAATTTAAAAATAATTTAATAATTTTAAAAAATACATTATACCTTAAGTGACTTCATGTTATGAAATTATTAAACAGTTATCTCATTATCAATGTTAAGAAAAATATATTTTTTAATATAAGTCTCTAGAGAATTATTTAGCAATGAATTTTTCCTACATCCTGCAATTGATTTTTCCCAAATTTTATAGTAGAAAAGACTTTTTTTATCATTGTTGTGACAATTGATAATATCATTTTTAATTTTAAGAGAGCATGAAATTTTTTGAAATTTAAACATCTTTAAAATTGAATTAAGTGGTACAAAATATTTAAGTTAAGGGATACAAAATATTAAAATATATAAACTCTTTTTGTAATTTTTTCTGAGTCAGGGGGTGCTTTGGCTACTACGTAGCGCCGGGCCGCCTGCTATGAGTATGACAAAGTATCAAGTATTTTTTAGAGACTCATTAAAACTGAACTGCAAATTATAATTTTTGGAAAAATAAAAATAAATTATTTGAAGTACATGGATTAATTTTCCATGCTCACTTTTAAAAAATAATCCAAGATTTAAGCAAAAATAATTTAACGAAGAAGAAAAGCAACGAAAACTTGTGTTTACTTGTGATTGAAAAACACGGAGTCCCTCGTCAAAAGATTGCAAGTGTGAGATGCTTAGACTTTTGAAACTGGGGTGGGACCATCCTAGCCGTGGGCTTGAGCTGTCTTCACGAAAACAATGAAAACTCTGGGCTCTATGTGAAAATTGCCACATGGCCTTCTTTTCTTTCCTTTTTAAATTTGGCATTGGTTATGCTTAGAAATGGACTAGTTTTTGACCAGTTCAGCGTGCTCTTAGCGCGAATTAATTCATTGTGTTTCTGGCAAAAAAACAAAAAAAAAAAAAAACCGGATTTGCTGAAAGTCCAGTTTCCGGGGGCTGATTAGATGGGACAAAAGATCTTGCTCCTACTATAGCTTATTTAAATGGTTGGGCTGACTGGTCCAATTGATTTTTAAAATTTGAAAATCAATAAAAAA